CCCTCCGGGGTAGGAGTGCGAAGACGGGGATTCTCATCCCAAACCGACCGTACGGAACTTGCGCGCGCTGTCGTCCAAGCGCGCTGGTGCGCTGGGGCGGTGAAGAACCGCCCGGGCGACAGTGTCGGCCCACGTCCAGCCCGACGGGGGGGTGGCGGCGAGGACTTTGGGTCGCGCACTGTACGCCGTGGGTACGCGCACCGCATCGGACGAATTAACCCGCGCGAACGCGGGCTCGGCCAACTCGGTGGCCCGCGGAGCCTCTCCACGTTTGCTCCGCCACGCGTGTACCGCATGGGCCGATCGGCTCGACGCCGGAGCCCGACCAGGGCTCGACGGCGGACCGTATGGGCCCGCGGCGCTGACTTCGTCGTGACCGTCCGTTCTCGGTCTCCGGAGGAGGTACTGTACGGAAAAGTCGTCGCGGGTGGAGGAGTTGGGAATTTCGGGGGAGTGTTAGAAGGGAGTCAGGGGTTTCGGAGCGTCTCGCAGGAGGGAAATTGGACGACGCGCTTACCGATTCGGACGGGACAGCTGGCGAATCGACCGCCAGCTCGGAGTCGAGGCGGGAGAAAAGCCCGCCCGCACGCACGCGCTTCGGTCTTCGCATCGCGCGCGGAGGAAAACAGAGAAACCGGAACGGAACTCCGTGGTCGGATGGGTGGTCGCTACAAGGACGTAGCGAAAGCTAAGGAAGGGGGTCTGTAGTATAACGACGGACGCGCGCGCGGGGAGATTATTAACAGTGCGGCCGTGCACGGTGGACACGTGGGCGGGTGTGCCCACGTGTAGGGAGCGCGCGCGTGCCGAGCGGTCGTAATCTGGCGTACGTGTACAGTAGTGCACGTGCCGGCCAAGCGGTAGTCTACCAGTATGACGCGTGTACGCTAGCACACGTGGCATCCGTGCGGTAGTCTGTAAGCAGCGCGTGTGTACAGTAGTACACACGTGTAGCTGCAGCGTCCGCGCGGTAATTAGGAATTGAGGCGCTAGTTTTTTAATGGCGTACAGTACCTGGTACGCACTAGGCGGCAGGTACTGTATACTGGGACAGGTGTCCGAGGCGTCCCTCTGAGGGGTTAAGACCTGACACCCGTCCCCACCAGTAAACTGGGGCAAGCTCGCCCCCGTCCCTTTTGCGCCTACGTACGTCCGTTTCGGTTGTCCGCCGCGCGCGCTGGCTTCTAACCCGTTACCGGTCGCTCCCGTTTACGCACCACGGGGCGACTGCGCGTAACCGGCCAGTGAGCCACTCCCTTTTCGCGAGCTCGTCCGATCGGTTCAATTGGCGCGTCGCGTCCGCGCCGCGTGCTCCCTCGCTAAAGCCTCCGCCTCTCACCCAACCCAGGGCGGAGAGGAGTTATCCCACAAGAATCCCAAAGAATTTCAGCAGCTCCCCTGTACTCACCGCCTGCTTCCCTTTGTCCTGCAGCACCTCCGACGTCCACTGCACCATCTTGAGCAGATGGGGGTGCGGCAGTGCCGCCATAAAAAAGTCGAGTGCGCGCCGCGTCGACGAGGATCCGGAGTCACCCCCTTCAACAACTGATTGCCCTCCTACGCTTCTCATTTCCCAACTTCGACGCGGCACCGCGCCCCGAACCGGCTCTAAAACCTCTTTCTGACCCCACAATACTCTATGCGCGTCGTAGGTGGTCTGGGTTTGCAGTGGCGGCTCTGGAGTGGGTGATTCGTTTTGCTCAGGGGTACTGTAAGCACCACTGCCCGTCTGCCCGGCGCTTCGCCCTTGCTCAGCTTGACGGGGCGCAGGGTTCGCTGGGCTGCTCTGATGGTGCTGCTGCGGTGCGGGAGTGACCAGGGGAGGATTGTAGTATAACGACGGACGCGCGCGCGGGGATATTATTAACAGTGCGGCCGTGCACGGTGGACACGTGGGCGGGTGTGCCCACGTGTAGGGAGCGCGCGCGTGCTGAGTGGTCGTAATCTGGCGTACGTGTACAGTAGTGCACGTGTCGGCCAAGCGGTAGTCTGCTAGTATTACATGTACGCTAGCACACGTGGCATCCGTGCGGTAGTCCGTAAGCAGCGCGTGTGTACAGTAGTACACACGTGTAGCTGCAGCGTCCGCGCGGTAATTAGGAATCGAGACGCTAGTTTTTTAATGGCGTACAGTACCTGGTACGCACTAGGCGGCAGGTACTGTATACTGGGACAGGTGTCCGAGGCGTCCCTCTGAGGGGTTAAGACCTGACACCCGTCCCCACCAGTAAACTGGGGCAAGCTCGCCCCCGTCCCTTTTGCGCCTACGTACGTCCGTCTCGGTTGTCCGCCGCGCGCGCTGGCTTCTAACCCGTTACCGGTCGCTCCCGTTCACGCACCACGGGGCGACTGCGCGTAAACGGCCAGTGAGCCACTCCCTTCTCGCGAGCTCGTCGGAGGGTTCAATTGGCGCGTCGCGTCCGCGCCGCGTGCTCCCTCGCTAAAGCCTCCGCCTCTCACCCAACCCAGGGCGGAGAGGAGTTATCCCACAAGAATCCCAAAGAATTTCAGCAGCTCCCCTGTACTCACCGCCTGCTTCCCTTTGTCCTGCAGCACCTCCGACGTCCACTGCACCATCTTGAGCAGATGGGGGTGCGGCAGTGCCGCCATAAAAAAGTCGAGTGCGCGCCGCGTCGACGAGGATCCGGAGTCACCCCCTTCAACAACTGATTGCCCTCCTACGCTTCTCATTTCCCAACTTCGACGCGGCACCGCGCCCCGAACCGGCTCTAAAACCTCTTTCTGACCCCACAATACTCTATGCGCGTCGTAGGTGGTCTGGGTTTGCAGTGGCGGCTCTGGAGTGGGTGATTCGTTTTGCTCAGGGGTACTGTAAGCACCACTGCCCGTCTGCCCGGCGCTTCGCCCTTGCTCAGCTTGACGGGGCGCAGGGTTCGCTGGGCTGCTCTGATGGTGCTGCTGCGGTGCGGGAGTGACCAGGGGAGGATTGTAGTATAACGACGGACGCGCGCGCGGGGATATTATTAACAGTGCGGCCGTGCACGGTGGACACGTGGGCGGGTGTGCCCACGTGTAGGGAGCGCGCGCGTGCTGAGTGGTCGTAATCTGGCGTACGTGTACAGTAGTGCACGTGTCGGCCAAGCGGTAGTCTGCTAGTATTACATGTACGCTAGCACACGTGGCATCCGTGCGGTAGTCCGTAAGCAGCGCGTGTGTACAGTAGTACACACGTGTAGCTGCAGCGTCCGCGCGGTAATTAGGAATCGAGACGCTAGTTTTTTAATGGCGTACAGTACCTGGTACGCACTAGGCGGCAGGTACTGTATACTGGGACAGGTGTCCGAGGCGTCCCTCTGAGGGGTTAAGACCTGACACCCGTCCCCACCAGTAAACTGGGGCAAGCTCGCCCCCGTCCCTTTTGCGCCTACGTACGTCCGTTTCGGTTGTCCGCCGCGCGCGCTGGCTTCTAACCCGTTACCGGTCGCTCCCGTTCACGCACCACGGGGCGACTGCGCGTAACCGGCCAGTGAGCCACTCCCTTTTCGCGAGCTCGTCGGAGGGTTCAATTGGCGCGTCGCGTCCGCGCCGCGTGCTCCCTCGCTAAAGCCTCCGCCTCTCACCCAACCCAGGGCGGAGAAGAGTTATCCCACAAGGATCCCCGAGCGTGACACTGCGCACACTGATGCGCCTGTCCCGCTGACCGGCCAGAGAATCCCATTTCACTTTGAGGAAGATGCTCACCCTCTCTTTTCCGGCCTCTTTTTCCACCCTCAGCACCCCCCCTGACACCAGGGTCTCCTTGTAAAGAGATCCGTAGAATCGTTTAGACTCCGCTTCTCCCAAGGCAAGGTGCGCTCTGGCGTGTACTCGCGCCCCAATCTGCTGTTTTGCCAGAGATGACATGGTTGAGCGCAGCGTGACCTTGAGCTTGGCGTGGTGGCCCTTTTTGCCGGTGGAGGTTATGATAGCTCGATGTAAAAGGCGCCCATCGCCTCCAAGCTAATAAAAAGGGCGCTGAATCGGTTCCCGGTGTCCATTTGCTCCCAAATCCAGCCGTTTACCGTCCAGCATGGTGCTGGAAAAAGGATTAATTAATCCTCGTGGGATAATAGACACTAGAGCGAGCGTAGTTGGTTCAAAACTACTGCTGTCCATGCAACATCTCACGATCTGCATCTGTTTTGCGCGATTCGTCGCGATGCAAGGAACATGGCAACGCGATGTCTGGTGTTGGTGGTGAGCATCCTGACAAGCCAGCTACCACAGAGGGGTAGGAAGCGGCGCGCATCCGGGCATCCGAGGAAGGGTCACACGCAGCGGAGAAGTACAGTATTGGGCGGAGAAATAATGCAAAGGTCGATGATAGAAGGCCATCTAAATACTGTACGAGTACAGTATCTTTAAAATAAGAGATTTTTTCTTACGTGCCCCTTTTATTTTGGAATTTTTCTTGCGTATTCAATTTACTCTTCCACCCGGGGGGGGGGGGGGGGGGGGTAATTTGGAACGCATTTTCTTTTTTAAATGGAGAAAGTACTTATTTAAGAAATGGGGCTCATAATAAGGGGTAGGGTATGTAAGGAAAATTCCAAAATAAAAGGGGCACGTAAGAAAAATTCTCTTAAAATAATGTTGATGAACTTTCCGTCGGACGCTCCTCGCCACTGAAGGAAGGGATACAGTACTGTCCAGAACCTTACTGTACAAAGGTGGTAGGATACTGTCAGCATTCTCACAAGGTTACTACCGTACTATTGCGGCTACAGTACTGTACGACTGCACCAATACTGTACGGGAAATTGGAGACCAAAATTGTGGGGGGTAGAGAGGTATGATAGGGGAACAGTTTTTGAGAAAGTAGGGTGGCAAAGGGGGGTGTGAGAGGGTGACTGCACCGAATTGAGATCTTGATGACGACATCAAGACCAACACTTCAATGATGCATCTCACCACGAGCCACGAGCACAACTGCCCCCACCAAATGAATTCACCTCCCGCTTTCACCTATACACCGTCTCCCCCCTCAGCTCTCTTGTGCAATGCTTCGCGTCGCGCGAGGCATTCTTCTACGCCCTTCTTTCTCCACCGCATCCACCTCCAAGCCCCTCAAGCCGCCGACCCTCCTTCTCTCTGAGGTCTTCGCGTCCGTGCAAGGCGAGGGCCCCTTCACCGGCCGCCCGTCTGTCTTCACCCGTCTCGGCGTCTGCAACCTCTCGTGCGCCTGGTGCGACACGCCCTACACCTGGCTCTTTGACCGCGACCGCCATCGCAAGGTCGCCGCCCGAGCAGGTCCGCACGCCCAGCCCCGCATTTACGACAAGAGGACCGAGCTCACCCGTACCACTACCGATCACCTCTTCCGCGACGTGCGCGCCCTCGCGGGAGAGGGGATCAGAGCCGTCGTTATCACGGGGGGAGAGCCGCTGCTGCAGAAGAAGCATCTGCAAGCGTTTGTGACTCGTCTTATTGACGACGGGTTCGCCATCGAGTTTGAGACAAATGGAACCGTTAGTCCGGAGGGTTTACCTCGAGGCGTACATTTGAATGTCAGCCCCAAGCTAGAGAATTCTATGCAGCCTGTTGAGCAAAGGATTAAACTGCAAGTTTTGAAGGAATGCCTTGCTTGGCCGAACTCTGTGCTCAAGTTTGTCGTCGGTGAGCACCGCGATCTTGACGAGGTGTGCGGAATCGTCGAGCAGCTCGATATCCCGTCGCATCGTGTTTTCCTCATGCCCCTTGGAACGGTATGTATTTGCGGCTCGGCAGTGCCCCTTGTTGAGATTACTGGGCTTTCGATCGAGTCTCAGTCCTCCTTCTGACTAATGCTTACTTTTTTTTGTCGATACGCCTGCGTTTGTTCCAAGGACTCCGAGACAATACGAGAAAATGGTCGTTGGTTGACTGACGTTTGCCAGAAACATGGATTCAACTATTCGCACCGGGTGCATATAGAACTCTGGGGTGACAGGCGTGGTGTATAACAGTCAGTGCATTGGTTGTTTTATCTTTGTCCCATACCCTAGCGAATATTTTGTCACATCGAACCGCAGTGCCCCTATGGTTAATTCGTCGGTGCGGCACCAACTCATGACGCACCAACAACAAGCTCCGTGACGCTCTTATCCCATGACCCACTGAAAAGCCTTGATTCTTCTTTCGGATCCCACGCGACGCTCCTAACGTAGTCCGTATGATGTAGCGACCGCGACACGATCTCGCCTTTTGCGACGTCAACCAGTGAAACTGCGGGGCAATTTGAGGCGACAGCGACAATGTTCTCGTTGTGCGGATTGGTTCTCAAGCAGTGGGCAACACCGAGGAAGCCGCCCTTTCTCCATGTTGGCTTCATGGCCGACCTAATATCAAATGCAACAACCTCCATCATCTCGGTCGTAAGCACTACGTTGGTCCCCTTGCCAGCAAAGACGGCCGAATAAACATGCAAGCCAGCCGGCAGGGTAATAGCGGCCTTCCACTGACTGGCCCTCTCATCCCAGACGCAAGCCAAACCGTCAGAACTGGCCGTGAGTAACCGATCGCCGGAATTGTTCCAGTCGACAGAATTGACCGAATCGATATGTCCTTCAAAGCGCATCGGCTCGTTCGTGGGCTCTTTCAGGTTCCAGCACAAGACGGCGCGATCGCTGCCCCCGGACGCGACGAACTTCTTCTGGCTGGACACGGCGACGGACATGACGGTGGCGTTATGGCCGCCGGGCAACGGCAGCACGCCGCCGGAGTGCACGACGCGGACCGAGCCGTCGTCGCACCCGGCGATGAACTGCCCCTCGTCGAGCACGCAAAGGTCCGCGATGCCCGTGTCCACCTCAATCTCGGCCTCGATTTGGCCCGCGCCCATGAGCCCGTGCACGCGGCCGTCCCACACGGAGCCCGTCAGCGAGGACGTCGCCGCGACGGCGTTGCCCGCCCCCGCGGACACCACCGCGTCCACGTGCCGCGACAGCTGCCACGTCTTCTTGACTGAGAGCGTCGGTGCGCCCATGGTGCAGGGGGGGGGGGGGGGGGGG